GCTTCACTATCTTCACAGACACTGTACCATGGTGATGATACTTGAGTGGACTCTGAAAGTAAAAATCAAGTCTGAGAGTTGACTTCTCTGCATAAAGCTTACCAAAATATTTATTTGATTTTGTTTTGTTCTTTTTAATGGGTAAAAGCGTGTGATGGTAGCTTAAAAATAGTTTTCAAACACAGCACATACATATCATGATAAAAATAAACATTCTGAAAAAAGAAAAATTCTGATCAGAAAAATAAATAATATTTTTACCTTTTAGATTGGACTTCACCTCCTCCAAAATCACGATCCACTGTAACTTTCTCTGAATGTAAAAACCCACACAAAAATACATCATTTAAAACAATATGGTATATGTTTGCAAATACAAATGTGTATATAACATCCAGAAAATCTGGCACTGTACTACATGTTTGTGTGTAAACCCACGATTTGATCAAGATTCCACCCTTTAAAAATCTTCTGAGCGTCTGTTTTCAAGTCCCAGAAAAACTGAGTTGTGGGAACAGAGCAGTTCTCTTCTGCAGTCATACATTCATAACACACACATACATATGAAGAGTTAGGTTGCAAAATGCGATAAACGCCATTTTTTGACATTTGGATTTTATTATTGGAAATCACTGTTCAGATGTACCTTAATCTATGTGTGAATTGCTGCCATTAATAACATTTAAGAATGCACATTTTAGGCCAAGTACAAAACGTATTTTTTTTCACAAAACGCAATATCCGTCAGACCAGTTTCTTTACAAAGTGCGATATAACAGTTAGAGAGCGTTCAGGATGCGGCGCGAGCTCAGCATCCCCTGGGAAGAGAGTCAACGCCGGTGAAGTGCTCAGAGTTTGCTCATTGATTTAGCGATAGAAGATGAAGTCTTCAATTTCACAAAAAAATAATAAAAAGGCCACAAAAGTGGACCAGAATAAGATACTTCTGCGTCAACAATACACAAATGCAGCAGGGAACGAGTCTCCGCTGATGTCAAGAGAAGGCCTAGGAGCGCCTTTTTTCCTACTCCCCATCACAAGATACCTGTCTGCAAGTGTCCCTTATAAGTTTATTTTTTAAATAATTTCTTAAATGTAGCTGAGTAGCCTATCTGAAGATTTATTTATGTGGTTGCACCTATTATTTAAAATTAATTCTTGTTGTTGTTGATTTATTATAAAGGAACTTAAAGGGCACATGTTGTTATGGAGAAAACGGTTTAGCTTTTTCACAACCAAATAAATAAGCTATTATTATTATTACAGTGAAATAATTCATTAAATATGACATAGCGAGGCAAGTTTGTGTCACGGACTCAGCTCCGCCCGCTCTAATCATACAGGTTTGGTTTTCTGCAGCGGTGTGGAAGGAGCCGCCCCCCACTCTTTCTGTACCAAGCTAAAGGTCATTTATCTAACTAACTTAATCTTACTTATCAAACAAAACATTGATTCACTAGCTTTTGGTAATGGTATTAATGTAGTATAATATAGCCTAAGGTGGATGTAGCGTTTTGCAAAAAAAAAAAAAAAAAAAGTTATGTTATGTTATGTTGTGTACATTCTGGCCAAATCTAACTTAGAATCTTATTATTATTAATCAATCTTTGCATATATTATTCCATGTTTGACAATGTGGGTTGGATTAATATGTAGCATTTTGGCATGTTTTTTTTTTACTTAATTATAGACATAAAATTAAATAAAAAATATCCTGGATTTGAAAATATTGTGTTCCTGGCCTTCACTGAGCTCAAGTTATAGTTTAATGTACAGAAATTGTGAATGAACTTGACTGTTGATGTCCTGAAAAATAATGTCAAAATTACCAACATTTTTTTTAAATGGATATATCTCGTTCTGCAATGAAACTCTTTATATACAGTTGAAGTCAGAATTATTAGCCCCCCTGAATTATTAGACAGCTTGTTTATTATTTCCCCAATTTCTGTTTAACGGAGAGAAGATTTTTTTCAACACATTTCTAAACATAATAGTTTTAATAACTATTTCTAATAATCATTTCTAATAATGGACTTATTTTCTCTTTGCCATGACGACAGTAAATAATATTAGACTAGATATTCTTTAAGACACTTCTATACAGCAATTTAAAGGCTTCACTAGGGTAATTAGGTTAACTAGGCAGGTTAGGGTAATTAGTCAAGTTATTGTATAACGATGGTTTGTTCTGTAAATTATCGAGAAAAAAATATAGCTTAAAGAGGCTAATAATTTTGTCCCTTAACGGTGTTTAAAAAAATGTAAACTGTTTTTATTCTAGTCAAAATAAAACAAATAAGACTTTCTCCAGAAGAAAAAAATATTATCAGACACACTGGGAAATTTTTCTTGCTCTGTTAAACATCGTTTAGGAAATATTTAAAAAAGAAGAGAAAAATTCCAAGGGGTCTAATAATTAATACTTCAACTGTATATATATATATATATATATATGAAAGTATATACAGTTGAAGTCAGCCCACCTTTTAAAAACTTTTTTACAAATATTTCCCAAATGATGTGTAACAGAGCAGGGAATTTTTTCATAGTATGTCTGATGATATTTTTTTCTTCTGGAGAAAGTCTTATTTGTTTTATTTCAGCTAGAATAAAAGCAGTTTTAATTTTTTATGAACCATTTTAAGGTCAATATTATTATCCCTCCAATAACTTGCCTAGTTACCCTAATTAACTTAGTGAAGCCTTTAAATGTCACTTTAAGCTGTATAGAAGTGTCTTGAAAAATATCTAGTCAAATAATTTTTACTGTCATCATGGCAAAGAGAAAATAAATCAGTTATTAGAGATGAGTTATTAACACTGTTATGATTAGAAATGTGTTTAAAAAATCTGCTTTCCATTAAACAGAAATTTAGTACAAGAAATAAACAAGGGGGCTAATAATTCCGACTTCAACTGTATATAATTAAAAATATATATTTTATATATAATTTTATAAATATTTCATAAAAAATTATTATATATATTTTTATATATAATTTATAATTTTTATTTTGAAATATATAATTTAGACAGTAGTACTCAAGGGTCCAGGGGTCTGTTCTTCGGACCTCGCTTAAATAATCTAAGATTATATTACAGATCCTGGATCTTTTAATCTTGATAACTCATCTTAGGCTAATTTGGTTCTTCAAAAAAGTTTGCGAATCAGATTAAACTGATCTGAGATGTGTTGTGACTGTGTGTTGTGACAGATCTATCGATCCTCAAAATCATTATCAGCAATACAACGATTGGCTGACGGCACAGCAGCGTGATGACCTCTGATTAATGGACAGTTATCAAAATTACATGAAATCCGTAGTAAACGGTTCGTTAAATCTGATATGCAATAACAGAGTTGTGAGTCACGTGCTGAAGCAGAGCAGTTCTCTTCCCCTGTCATATGGTCATCCTTCAATATAAGCTGAATATAAAAAAAAATATATTAGTTAGACAGCAGTACTCAAGGGTCGCGGTCCCCACTATGTCAGACCTTACTGTGTGTGTATTCAGGACTAAGTGTGTTTCACAGCTTCTCTAACATGCCTCTGGTCCCCACAATGTCAGTGCATATGTTCACCAATTAGGACACACACTCGGTTTCATTTCTATATTTTGATTAAGTTAAATAGTTACAATTAAATACACTACTACTACAACAACAACTACTATTACTACTACAACTAATAATATTAATAATAATAATAATAATAATAATTGTTATTATTATTAAATTTAAACACACCTCATCAGAGTTGTGGGTCTCCTACTGGAGCAGAGCAGTTCTCTTCCTCTGTCATATGGTCATCCTTCCATCCTTCAATAAAAGCTGAATAAAAAAAAAATATATATATATATATTAGTTAGACAGCAGTACTCAAGGGTCCCGGTCCCCACTATGTCAGACATTACTGTGTGTATTGAGGACTAAGTGTGTTTCACAGTTTCTCTAACATACCTCTGGTCCCCACAATGTTACACTAGTGCATACATTCATACATTAGGACACACACTCTGTTTCATTTATATATTTTGATTAAGTTAAATAATTACAATTAAATGCACTACTACTACTACAACAACAACTACTACAACTACTACTACTAATAAAAATAATAACAACAACATTAAACACACCTCATCAGAGAGTTGTGAGTCTCGTACTGGAGCAGAGCAGTTCTCTTCCTCTGTCATATGGTCATCCTTCAATCAAAGCTGAATAAAAAAAAAAATATATATATATATATTAGTTAGACAGCAGTACTCAAGGGTCCCGGTCCCCACTATGTCAGACCTTACTGTGTGTGTATTCAGGACTAAGTGTGTTTTACAGCTTCTCTAACATGCCTCTGGTCCCCACAATGTCAGTGCATATGTTCACCAATTAGGACACACACTCTGTTTCATTTCTATATTTTGATTAAGTTAAATAGTTACAATTAAATACACCACTACTACAACAACAACTACTATCACTACTACAACTAATAATAATAATTATAATAATAATAATAATAATAATAATAAAAATAATTGTTATTATTATTATTATAAACACACCTCATCAGAGTTGTGGGTCTCGTACTGGAGCAGAGCAGTTCTCTTCCTCTGTCATATGGTCATCCTTCAATAAAAGCTGAAAAAAAAAAAAAATATATATATATATTAGTTAGACAGTAGTACTCAAGGGTCCCGGTCTCCACTACGTCAGACATTACTGTGTGTATTCAGGACTAAGTGTGTTTCACAGCTTCTCTAACATGCCTCTGGTCCCCACAATGTTACACTAGTGCATACATTCAAAAATTAGGACACACACTCTGTTTCATTTCTAGATTTTCATTAAGTTAAATAATTACAATTAAATGCACTACTACTACTACAAGAACAACTACTACAACTACTACTACTACTACTACTACTAATAAAAATAATAACAACAACATTAAACACACCTCATCAGAGAGTTGTGAGTCTCGTACTGGAGCAGAGCAGTTCTCTTCCCCTGTCATATGGTCATCCTTCAATATAAGCTGAATAAAAAAAATAAAAAAATATATATTAGTTAGACAGCAGTACTCAAGGGTCGCGGTCCCCACTATGTCAGACCGTACTGTGTGTGTATTCAGAACTAAGTGTGTTTTACAGCTTCTCTAACATGCCTCTGGTCCCCACAATGTTACACTATTGCATACGTTCACCAATTAGGACACACACTCTGTTTCATTTCTATATTTTGATTAAGTTAAATAATTACAATTAAATGCACTACTACTACAACAACAACTACTACTACTACTACAACAACTAGTAATAATAATAATAATAATAACAACAACAACAACAATATTAATAAACACACCTCATCAGAGTTGTGGGTCTCGTACTGGAGCAGAGCTGTTCTCTCCTTCTGTCATACGGTCATACTTCAGCAAACCTGAATATAAAAATATATATATATTAGTAAGACAGCAGTACTCAAGGGTTCCGGTCCCCACTATGTCAGACCGTACTGTGTGTGTTTCACAGCTTCTCTAACATGCCTCTGGTCCCCACAATGTTACACTAGTGCATGGGTTCACCAATTAGGACACACACTCTGTTTCATTTCTAGATTTTGATTAAGATAATTAATTACAATTAAATGCACTACTACTACAACAACTACTACTACTACTACTAATAATAATAATAATAACAACAACATTAAACACACCTCATCAGAGTTGTGGGTCTCCTACTGGAGCAGAGCAGTTCTCTTCCTCTGTCATATGGTCATCCTTCAATATAAGCTGAAAATAAAAAATATATATATTAGTTAGACAGCAGTACTCAAGGGTTCCGGTCCCCACTATGTCAGACCGTACTGTGTGTGTATTCAGGACTAAGTGTGTTTCACAGCTTCTCTAACATGCCTCTGGTCCCCACAATGTTACACTATTGCATACGTTCACCAATTAGGACACACACTCTGTTTCATTTCTAGATTTTGATTAAGTTAAATAATTATAATTAAATGCACTACTACTACAACAACAACAACTACTACTACTTCTACTACTACTAATAATAATAATTATTATTATTATTAAATTTAAACACACCTCATCAGAGGGTTGTGGGTCTCCTACTGGAGCAGAGCAGTTCTCTTCTTCTCGTCATATGATCATACTTCAATAAAAGCTAAATATAAAAAACAAAAAATAATAATTAGACAGTAGTACTCAGGGCTCCTGGTCCCCACTATGTCAGACCGTACTGTGTGTGTATTCAGGACTAAGTGTGTTTCACAGCTTCTCTAACATGCCTCTGGTCCCCACAATGTTACACTATTGCATATGTTCATAAATTAGGACACACACTAAGTTAAATAATTACAATTAAATGCACTACTACAGCAACAACATCTACTACTACTACTACTACTACTAATAATAATAATAATAATAATACTAATACTAATAAACATACCTCATCAGTGAGTTGTCGGAGCAGTTTTCTTCTGCAGTCATATGGGCATCCTTCAATGAAAGCTATTTAAAAACAGCTTTGTTATATAAGTCATGTCATGACTATAAAGCTTTCATGACAGTCTTATGAACCCCCCTTTAAAGTAAAGCATTACCCAATTAATTAAACTTTTTTACCCATTAAGACAAGAAGAAGATATTAAGAGATTGATTTCTCTTAAGGATGATGCAAACTCTTTATTTTTGAACAGATTTACCCTTAATTTATATTAACATTAAAAAACTCTTAGCTTTGCTGAATGTATTAAGGATTAATGTATTAAGTGATCAAAATGTCAAAACTTTCTCCAAGGCCAATCACTTGCGCCATAGTCAAACGTTATTTCCTCTCCAAAGAAAATATCCCTGATTGCAAAAAGGCACAAATGAGGTTTTCTCTGAACAACGATCTTATTGACAGTGCAGTTAGGGTGCAGATCGTCCTCATGATCGGCATCAATGCTGCAAAACTAAGAGAAAAGAGCAAGCAACATTTTAATTATGCCCTCTCATAGCAATAAAAAGCTAAACTATGGCATGAATACAAACACAATGAATATAATATATACATGTACATTTGAATGGGGAAAACACTTAACCACCTGTTCTTGTTTTACCATATAAAGTCAAACATAAAGACAGTATTTTTATTAATATCTCATCTATGCTTTGCTTCCACAAGCTCTATCATTTGTACTCAACCACAAAACTTCCTTTAATAAATGTGGACAACGCAAACTCTGACCTAAAAGATTTAATGTTTAGGGTTCAAAAACTACAAAAACCTCACATTAGCATCCTCTCTGTGTGTGAATTATAAATACAGTAAACCTTTTGAAGTGGATCAGAACCTTTCCTCAATGTTGTTCTAATACTATTGAACACCTGTTCTTCTTTCTTAGGACAGTTTTAAAGAACTTTTTTTCCACTTCAATTGTTTACAGGTCACACTTTACAATCAGGTTTTATTAGTTAATGTACTTACTAACATGACCTAGTAATGAACAATGCATGTACAGCATTTATTAATCATAGTTTAACATTTACTAATTACTAATGCATTATTCAAATCTAAATTCATGCTTGTACCAGTAATAATGCATTGCAATAATTAATGCATTGTGCGTGTTCAACTAGTAATGAACAACTTTATTTTCATTAACTAAAGTTAACAAACATGAACAAATACTGTAATAAAGTATTATTCATTGTTCATGTTAGTAAATGCATTAACCAGCATTAACTAATTTAACCTTATTGTAAAAGGCTACCAGTTGACAGCAAATAAATAAATAAAACACACACAGTGTACATTTATGTACTTTTATATATGTTTTACACTAAGTTGGAGTTTATTATAATTATTTATCTAAAATAAAACGTTTCTACACGTCATAGAACAATAAATTAAGTACATTTCTAGGACCAGATAGCCCCACATTTTAATTATAACCTCTATATTATTACATTAACGTATAAATAGTATATAATAGTGTTATTTCAGGATTAACGTTAAATGTTTAAAGCAATTAACCATTTAAAAAGTACGATGCAAGAACTATGAAAACATACCTTAGTAACCTTCTATATATTCGGTTTCCAGTGAATGGGTCTTGTCAGTGGAGCTGGTGATGTGTTTCTCCGCATCTTTTAATGGTTTTATCCTCCGTCGGTCCATTTAGCCGCCCGGTGATTGGTGACTGTCTGACCGCGGCTCATGCACTCCACCCCGGCCTCTGACTCACGTAGCACCGGGCAGTTAGCACGTTAGCACATTAGCGCGAGTAACTTTTACTCGTGTAAACAAGTTAAATTACATACCGAACTGTAGTTTGTGTCTTATCAGTGTTATATTAATACGTAATTTGAAACAACATCGATTAAAACACCCAGGAAATTCGTTAAAACATTTAATTAACTATACCTGATAACTGTCAAAATATGCAACATAAGTATTTGTCATATAACCTATTTTATTACATTATGATGGTGAAAAACATTCTAACTTACCCAAAACTTCGAATAATTTGTTGATAGATCTTAATTAAGTTGATTAAAGTCGGATTTATTTATGAGATTGCGCATGTGCAGTAGGCAGAGTGTGTGAACTGCGCAATAGTATGATCCTGCACAACTGGAGTAGCTGCACTCTCAGGACCGCATGTTTAGGACCGCATTTTTAGGACCCTAGTTTTTTGCAGAAGCGCCACCTACCGGATTGGATGACAAAGTGAAACTGCATTTCTAGGACCCGTTTTGTAACTGCACCACCTACCGAATTGGATTATATAGCGGAAACTTTCAGGCACTTTTATTACAGAGGTTAAAGTGTAAAACGCCTGCTTTAAGTAACAATTAAAAAAAAACAAATGAATTTACACCTAAAATATAAATGAATAAATAGAGTTGAGTGCCTTAAAAGTCTTAAATTCCTTGAAAAATACTGTATATTGATGAACCCCATTACATTGAACAAATTAGCTCAGTATTAAGGAAAATAAATTGAAATAAAATGGGTTCAGCATTTGCAGTTACTAATTTAAAACCAGGTTGTAAAGGTTTTAGAGAGACAAGACGCAAGAATGATTCAAGAATGTACATTTATATAAATATCCACACTTTTTTTTTATTAATGCAATTCAAACACAAAATTGACCCCACAGTTTATTCAGTTGCTGCATTCAGACTGGCTGTAGACTTTAGCTCCTGTGAATGAGAGTGAAGAAGAAAGTTCAAGTATATATATATATATATATATATATATATATATATATATATATATATATATACACACACACACACACACACACACACACACACACACACACACACACACATATATATATATACATACATATAAATACACACACACATACACACACACACACATACATATATATATATATATATATATATATATATATATATATATATATATATATATATATATACACATACACACTGGGGTAAATAAGTATTCAACAAGTTCCCATTATTCTCAGAAAACATATTTCTAAAGGTGCTATTGACCTGAAAACCAAAGAAAAAAAATATATGAATAGAAAACAAATCTAATTACTTTACAAATTGTTATCAACATCTGGTGAAAATTTCAAGTCAACAGCACCTTTATAAATATGTTTTCTGAGAAAAATGGAAACGTGTTAATTATTCAATTCAATTTTAATTAATTTCATCTTTATTTCTAAAGCACTTTTACAATGTAGATTGTGTCAAAGCAGCTTAATATTTATTAAATTCAGTTCAGTTTAGTGTGGTTTAGTATTCACTGCTGAAAATCCAAACACTAAAAAAAAGCAAATCCATCGATGCACAGTTCGACAAGTCCTAAACCAAGCAAGCCAATGGCAGCAGTGGAGGAACAAAACTTTACCAATTGATGAAAGGGAAGGAATAAACCTTGAGAGAAACTAGGCTCAGTTGGGAACAACCATTTCTCTTCTGGCCACACTTCACATGCAGAGCTGCAGTCTAGGCGCTGGAGGCAAACACTGGGCGTCCATCATAGAGAAGCTGCAGGTGTGAGTAGGTCACCAGCTGGTTTTCAGGCTGGACCACAGGGTCAATGTGGGCACTCATCTGTCACTGGGGTCTTTCATTAATCAGTCTCATGCTCTCCACTTCTCCATGACCACCACAGCATCTGCTCATGATACGGTCTGTTTCAGGATTATGGATACATTTAGAAGTCCTCTATGGTGGCATCATCTCTTCACAGGTTACGATCTCTAGAGGCCTCTGGATGAATATCCCCAGGTGGAAATAGGGAACAAGGAAAATAATTAGCGCAGCTGCTGTTCATAGTGTATTTAAACAAGAGATATTAAATATCAAGACAAAAATGAAGTGCTAAGAGATAAAATAGCAGTTATATGAATAAACCTGAAACGCACATGATTATTTATAACAAAATGTCTGGTTAAGACAGCAAGAGTGTTCCCTCCAAGTGGTTTGTCAATCCCACTCACCCGCATAGAGCACATAGGGCAGCACAGTGGTTAGCACCGTCGCTTCACAGCAAGAAGGTTGCTGGTTCAAGCCCCGGCTGGGCCAGTGGTCATTTCTGTGTGGAGTTTGCATGTTCTCCCCATGTTCAAGTGTATGAGTGTAAATGGGTGTTTCCCAGTACTGGGTTGCAGCTGGAAGGGCATCCGCTGTGTAAAACATATGCTGGATAAGTTGGCAGTTCCTTCTGCTGTGGCAACCCCTGATAAATAAAGGGACAAAGCTGAAAAAGAAAATGAATGAATATATATATTCTTGAATATGTAAAACAATGTATATGAACTCAAAAGGTTAATCAATTGTTATGAAATAAAATTCAGATTAATATTTAATATAAGAGGTATAATAACAAACATTTGCTTTACAGTGTAAGCTATAATATATATATATATATATATATATATATATATATATATATATATATATATATATATATATATATATATATATTTATTTCTGGCTTAAGCGTATGCACTGTTGGGAGAACCAAACAGGAAACTTTACTCCCAACTCCATATTTTTAAGTTTATAAGAGCAATACCCACCTATTGAATGGTCTCCCTTCTTTCGTCAGTTGTTTGTAAATCTGTCTGTTAAATTCTTTTACTTCACTGAAATAGAGAACAATCACTGTTGAGTTAACATATATACCAGTAACAAAAAGGCTCTTTGAGCATTGTGCCAAAATTAACCATATTCTGACCTGTAATAATAATCTTTACCAGAAAGAAAGACCTGCTCAGCATTATCCAAAGACCAGCTCCTCAAGACACACAGAGGATGTACGATGGCCTATGAAAAAAAAAAATCATTTAAATATGAACTAAAATACTACCACAGAACAGCAAATCATTTTACATGGATTCATAAATGAGTAGCACCCAGCATGCAGTTTATATACTTATTTGGCCAGACATTCCTCTGGAAAATGAACACCACAGATAAGCTGCACTTCTTCATAGATATGCTATAAACTCAAGAACACAGCTAGCATTGCGATGAAAATATTCCTGTAATTTGTTTTCTTTTCCTCCTACAATGAGCCTAAGCAATCCAATCATATTGGCCATAACTTCTTATTCGCCAGGTAAAACATACCTGATATAAATTAAAGATATGAGACTTTATATGGTTAAGACCTGCAGAATAATCCTAACTTTCAGAATTTCATTCATCACTGTAAAACGATGACAAAACATCAGGCTAATAACACATACAGTATTGTGGGGCAAACAGGCAGTCAGCACAATTTTTAATGTGCTAATGTAATACAACGAATAACACGAATTCAGTAAAATATAGTTAAATCTGAAACTCCTACATCAAACGTGCTTTTACCATCTTAGTTTAATACATGTCACTAAGCACATTAGCCGTTAAGTCAACAAGCCATTAAATCAACAATGTTTCATTAAACCATGGTCACGAGCTACGAACGTCGTAGCATTTAATCAAACTAGAAAACGAACTCTAGAAAATTATTAACAGTTATAACAGCTCTCACTCTGGCTGTGTAAAATTATCCATAATTATTATTATAATATTTTATTCTTCTTCTGGAAAAAATATCGTCACGTAACATTTTTGTCCCAGACCCTTAAAAGTGGGGTAAATCATGCAGGCCAATCTGGCATTTCTGCATAAACTCACTGTATAAAACAGCAGCATTACAAAATAAACACATACTTTAACAGTTTAAAATAAAACTTAATAGAAAAATCGGTACTACACTTTCCTTGTAATCCGTGTCGTCCATTAGCGCATCCATGATCCAATCCGACAGGTGACGCTGTCACAAAAAACTAGGGTCCTAAAGATGCGGTCCTAAAAATGCGGTCCTGAGAGTGCAGCCACTCCAGTTGTGCAGGAATACCCTTCTCGAACTGCGTCAAGTGTGTGTCAGGGTGCAGTACCGCCATCCGACTACAGGACCGCTATAGAGCAGTGCGCCGACACACACTTACACACTCAATTCAGGTAAATGGTCAAGGTGGGGATCAGTGAAAAAAACTGCACTAGGCATATCAGCAACGCCCCCTGAGTCTTTTAAAGGCAAAACATAGTGGGGACCGGGCGATCGGTCCCCACTATGTTTTTGGTCCCCACTTTGTGAGTGTGCTATCATGCTGAGGTCCCCACCATGTAATAAAAACAAACACACATACACACACACACACACACACACACACACACACAATTAAATGCAATTGAGTTGGTCCAACATGACTTTATCAAAAAGTTTGGTCACACTTTACAATAAGGTTCATTAGTTACTTTTAATTAATGCATTTACTAACATGATTGAACAATGCATTTACCACTGTATTTGTTCATATTAGTTAACGTTAGTTAATGAAAATACAGTAGTTCATTGTTAGTTCATGTTAACTCATGGTGCATTAACTAATGTTACCAAGCATGGACTTGGTTGTTAATAATGCATTAGTAAATGATCAATTATGATTAATAGATGCTGTACATGTGGTGTTCATGATTAGTTCATGTTAGTAAATGCATTAACTGATAAACCTTATTGTAAAGTGTTACCTAAAGTTGAAATACATTTGCATTTTTATTCAACCTTAAACTCAAAGGTCTGATAATATCATGTATGTCTATTATGTGTCATACATTTTGAAGTCTTTTTGTTTTATTTGAAGTTATCCTAAATAAACTAAAAGAGCCCTTTTTAAGCACAGTTTATGAGTTACATATACAATTGATTGATGCTGAGTTTTGGACAGCTGCTTACTGAGCAAAGCAACAAACTGCATTCCTGCTAATTAAGCTGCCTTGCATGGGTGCTTCTGTAAAGTGGTAATCTCAGCTCAAAGCATAACATCAAAATCTTCTAAATCTTCATACTAAAGTGAAAATTAAACTGTAAGAACATATTTCTATTTATTTGAAGCACCTAAGTTTACTTTTATTGTCCCCTAGCCAAATCTCCTAGCCAGGTAGTTGGGCCTACACAATTTCCTTCATGTTGTCCCAACACAAAATGCCTCGTAAACTTAATGGTTTACAAATTTAAGTGGACTGAACATAAATTGGGCAATTAAATTACAATAATTGTATTGTTTCAGCTCATTGTAAACAAGTGTTTCAAACAAGCTTTTTTTGAAATGTGTACGTTGTTATATTTAAGTTGAATTTTGCACTATGCTTTGTCCTAACAACACATAAGGGGCAAACAATTTGGCTGTCTGCACCAAACACAACACAATAGAAACATTTGAATACCAGCCACTGCACTCCTTAGGAAACAGAAAAGGCATTTAATTTAATTAATACATATTAAACCTCTTTAACGTTATAATAGGCTACTGCAGTGAGCGATGTTAGTTTGCAGTCAAATTTCTGACTCCTTTTCAAACCCTCTGCTATTTAATTTTTTTTTAAAGTGTTAAATCTGATGATGCTAGAAGTAGAATGGCAAGCAATGTCATGTAAAATGATTTTAACCTCTCATTGGTAGAATTGAACACCTGAATAAAGCACAATCAGTACCTGAGGTGATCATTATTAAAGTATATGCGGTTGGTCTGCTGTGACGTCACAGATATACAAAGAAAGTATATCTAAAATATAAATTTTGCGCGTCACAGATGATTAGGACAAAAATTCCTTTTAACAGGAAAAAGATGCATTTCACGTGGCATGTTATTGGGATACTGTGCTAATCTGGAGGAATACAACAGATAGGCCAGCAGGAGGCGCTTAAAGTACAAATAAAAGCAAAACTAACCATATTATTTTGTTAGCTCACATTGCTAGTTTTGTGGTAAACAATTATCTGTACATTTCTTTTAAGAAAAAAAAGTTTGCCTTTGTAATATACAATTAAAATTTGACTGTCTGTTAGGTTGTAATAACTCTTCCCAAACCCTTTTCCCAGTCTTTCTGAATAAAATGTTTCCTTACTGCATCCAATTAGCTTGCAGTAGAAAAAAGCCACACCCAATGCTTTCTCATTTAATATTCTATTTCTCTAGCAACTGCGTCAAAAAAACCAGAATAGTGGTTTCCCTAGTAAAGCTCAATTAACACAGGGTGTGAAATTAAAACTTCATGAAGGGTTTATCCAAAGCTTTGCACTGACACTATTGTCATAGTGATGACAGCCAATCGCAACTAACTTGAACCACAACACAAAGGCACAGAAGTAGTGGTAGTTGTGATCTGGATGTAGATTCAGCTTCATAAAGCACCATGCAATTATCAACCATGGTAATGTTTTTTCCTCCATTTTGCCGAATCATTATTCTCTAGTCTTGCACAAAAATGATAGGCATTTGTACTGATGAGTTTGCATAATGCGATCCCCGGCCCGTAGGCAGGGGAGGTTCAGGTGGTTTGAAAGACCCACCCCTCACTGGCCAAAATTTGTCCCATACATGAGCTTAATTTTCCCATTTTTACCTGCTTTGCCATAATTAATTGTGAAAATAACCCGTCG